TAATTAATTAGTTTTTAGAACAAAAATAACTATTTAATTCATTTGGTAAAACTAGAGGGACTAATATATAATTTAGTATATGATATACACAACTAAAATTTTGAATTGGTCATTTCTTTTAATTCATTTTCTACGCAGTCTTTTCAGACAGAATCTTCTTTCGAGAAAGGCTAATCAAACTTATGCAGCTATCGTTATTACAAAATGCAGTGGGGAAGAACATTTGAGTTGATTGCATTAGGATATAAATGTACATAAAAAAGAAAAACGTCGTACGATTTGTTCCTTTGTTTGTTTATTTATTTTTTTTAATTTCTTTTCCTTTTCCTTTCTGAAATAGATGATTGGAAATTAAATATCAATATAAAGTAAGCCACAAAGAGTACACACGCCACAAGTCATAAAGATCTAAAGTTAATAAATAATTTAAATCAATTTGTAAAAATAATACCAAACATAGACTAAATCTCAAATTCAATATCTCTTCGCTGAAATTGCCTAAGTATAGGCCGGTAATTAAAAAAGGAAAGAAAGAAAAACTGTTGCAATAAATTTTAGTGGAAGATACTGAAGTGACAAGACTGGGTATAAATGAAAATTTTATATTTCTTAAAAAATAATTATTAATACTTACTCAGAGAAATAAATATAAAATAATAATAAATAAATAAATACAAAGAAAACAGGAAATTAAAAAAGAAAATTTAAGTCTTTGTAGATATCTTTTTATAATTTTCAATAAGTGTGTCTGGATGTGATTTTCTTATTTGTTTATTTTTTTAAAAAAATGAATTCACAAAGTAATTATTTTATATTTATAATAATTACTTTTAAAGTATTTTAAATTTTCTCAAATATAAAGTATGTGCTTATTTTTACGCGGATGATCTTGTAATTCTATTGGAATCACCTTTACATTTTTCTTTTCTTTTTTCTTTTTTTTTTATAAAAAAAAATGCGTATAGAACTAAGAGAGTTTTTGGTAGACTCATAACTTGGATTTCAAAGTTCACGTATGACTACTTTACACAGAAATAATTTTTCTGTTCCTCTTAAACAATTTGACCAGTAGAAAAGCAAATTAAACATGAACCCATTTTTTTCCTCCACGGTTCAAGGTCCATTTTCCACCATTAAAATGAACAAACGCCTCGGTATATTTTCTAATCTGTGTAATTCAAGTCTCGTCAATTTTTTTATTGCCACATGAGCTACTTTAATCTACATTCACTGATTAATTTATCCACCGTAAAAACGTAGATCATAGGGAAACCTAAGCTAACATGGTATGGTTCACAAATGTCCCGTCAACAAGTGATCACTAGCTAGCTTCTTGTCTAGAAAATATTATGCCTTTGCACTTTATATATTCACAATGTTGAAAATTGGAACCTTGATGTCTCCTATAGGTAGAGCTAACTTTATTACATTTGGAAGCCAGCTTATGAACAACTAAAACTTTATTGTACAATAATAAAATAAGTTGCATTAATTAGCTATCCCGGAAAGTTCTAACTTGTTCTTCGTCTAATTAATCATAATATTTTAACCCTTATGAAAATTTGATAAACCTACGTAAATTTTTTTTTAAATGAAATTTTCATTAATAAAAAAAGATAAGCTAGTAGGAGCTTACCCAACTAAAAAGTATAAATTCATAATAAATATATGAAACAAATTAGGATAACATCCGTTAAATATAAATAGATTCAAATGTAAAATTAAGTATTATTTCAGCTAAAATCTTAAAATTGTGTAACATACTTAGAAATTAACAATGGCACATCCTTTTAGTCACGTCATCGAAAAAAAGAAACCTAAAATATTATATATCCTTAGTTAATGAATCCAAATTGTAACTATTTTAATCTCCTATAACAGATTAGTGACAACAGCATATATATACTCTGCAGTTTAATATATAAACCCACAAATTAAAATAACCATCTACGTAATTGAGATTGATTCTTTCCCTACTGAGTCTGAGCGTGGGGTAAGGAATTTAGGAGTTGACAAAGCGAAAAAGCTACCCTAATTTTTCTTTTTCCTCCACAAAGGAGGGAAATTGCCTTATTCTGGCGTTGACATTGAAACCAAGCACATTTGATGGATGCCGGCATTTACTGCGGTAACGAATCACGGCATGCCATGCCAGCACTAGTCTTTGGAGGAGTTTAGTCAACTACTTAAATAACACTTAGTGCTTTTAGAGGAGTTTAGTGCTTTTGGAATGTTTATACAACCCTAAAAACATTAAGAAGATTAATTAATTACTTAAACATTTTTCTATAGCTAAAGCTATAAAGTTAGTACTTAAGAGAGTTGAATTGAATGGAGTATACTCTAATCGTTTAAATAAATAATTTTATATTTGAATTTTTGTAAACGTAAAAAAAATTTCTTAAATTGTTATGTATTCGATAGAAAAACGAATGATTAGTTTGAATATTTAAATTTAAGATATCTTAAATATATATAGGTGCCTCAAGTTTGAAGTTCTTTCTCAACTAATAGTACATAGCTAAGAATTTCTATTATTATTTTTTAAAAAATAAACATGGGTTGGGTACAACTATAAGTGGATGTCATCTCGTACTTAAGAGAGTTAAATTGAACAAAATAAACTCTAATCGTTTAAATAAATAGTTTTATATTCGAATTCTTGTATAGGTAAAAAAAGTTTTTAGATTGCTATGTATCCGATAGGATAACGAATAATTAGTTTGGATTTTTAAATTTAAGATATTTATATGTGCCTCAAGTTTGAAGTTCTTTCTCAACTAGTACTACATAGCTAAGACTTTCTATATATTTTTTAAAAAAATAAACATGGGTTGGGTACAACTCGTAAGTGGATGTCTTCCGTATAGGAAACAGAAAAATTCTTCCACTATTAGTCGTTGCTTAAGGCTGCATCTTAGATTGTTATGTATCCAATAGGACAACGAATGATTAGTTTGGATCTTTAAATTTAAGATATCTTTTTTTATATACACAGGTGCCTCAAGTTTGAAGTTCTTTCTCAACTAGTAGTACATAGCTAAGAATTTCTATATTTTTTTTAAAAAAATAAACATGGGTTGGATACAACTGTAAGTGGATGTCATCTGTACAGGAAACAGAAAAATTCTTCCACCATTACCTGCTGCGTTGAGGCTGCATCTTATAGCTAGGTGACCTACATGGTGAAATCTTATGATGAAAGGGCAAGACCCTTTGGCATTCACTAGTCCTGTGATCTAATGAAAGTGGTGAAACACTTCATGGTGGGTCTGCATAACAAAACATATCTAGCTGAGGCTAGGATATATGCTACAGCTGGCCCTTGCTTACAAATTTAGTAACCAATCCCAAAGAGCTACTCATATTCCAATCTTGTCATTTGGATTTCCGGTTTGTGACGGAAAACGTGGTAGGTGCAAAGAGAATTTTGTTTTTGGGGAGTTAAAAAAAGAGTTCTCGAAACTCTTTGTGAATGATGTAATTTAGTGATATTGATTGAAGTGACACCCATTTTAGAGATTCCTGATCTTGTCATTTAACAAAGAAATTATACAAGCGTATAGAACTTTCAACCAGAATAGAATGAAATGGATTGGAGAAGTTAGGTCCTCAAATGCTTTGCAATTTTTGTAAAAGTATGCCTCATGAGGATATATGGGCATTGATCACCATCCAATAACAACCTAAAATACTCCAGCACTAGGAAAGGTTCGTTCAGAAAAGCTCTTCCTACCAAAACACAAATTCCAAAACTAAAGCACATTTATGCAACATAAATCAATTTTTCACAAAAATTCTTCCTGAAAAAACCTTTCCATGAATCCGTAGTGCATTCCGCATAAGGGAATGTCCATTATATATGACCATCAGAGCATTAATCGCATGCGCGTCAGCAAATACACAGGAACGCTTACACATCAGCACCTGGAAATTTTTGTAAGAAATTTTTAGAAAATAGCTTATAACCAGACAGCGTACAGGCAGGTATAAACGAAACTCATTTTTTCTTTTTTGTGCTCATGTTGTTCCCCCATAACATTAGCATAAAGAAACAAAACTTTTATTGGTGGGACTTGAGCCACCAAAAACATGAAATAGTGGAAAGCAGAAAAGCAAGAAAGAGGATGGAAGGAGAGAAAAAAGTCGACATGCTTTTTCACGTGCCTCTTTCTTACAAAAAATGCAGGTTGTTAATAAGAAAATTGACACTTTCGGACATATATACCATTATATATGTTTTTGTGTACACATACAATACATTTTCATATAAATATAAAGAAAAATTCAACCTTCTCATTGTTATTTCCTTCTGTTATTGAGTACAAGTTCCATTAATATCAGACTTTGATTGTTCGTTCGCTTTTCATTGATAAATTGGGCACTTGAAACTTATCTTTAAGTTTGTGGTTAATATGGGAATCTGTCAATCATGAGAAATACATAAACAACTGATTGAGAAACGATATTTTGAAATACCGACTTGGATTTATTCTTTCTTGTTTTCAGTAATATTCTTGAAAGCTTTTGTTGATCGTTGCTCTTCTTGTTGTTGTTAACAGTTGGGATTTTTTTTTAGCCACTTCCTACAAGCATTAGATTCCTCTATATGTTGCAAAATCCCAGAGCCTTCCTCTCTCCTAGGTGGGCGGCTCAGGAATGGATGAATGTGCTCCTCTCTGCTTTGATTCTCTCTGCTCTTAAAAGATTTTTTGCTTTTTTTTTTTTTCAAAAAAAAAAATTTTTGTCCTTGTCTTTTTCACCCTCTCCTTTTCATGGATGCCTTGCCTCTCCCCTTTTCAGTTTCTAATATGTAGCTGGTGTACACACTACACACAAAGATTTACTAGTGAAGGATATGCATATTCACTTGTTTTATTCCTTTTCCACACTATAAATACACATTGTGTTTCTAGGTTTTCTTCATTGCAATAGCTCCTCTTCCTGTCATTTGCTAACATATAGGAGGTGCACTTAGGCGTTTGGTTCCTCCTAAAAAAATGAGCTACCAACAACATCTTTCAATGGGTTCTGGTTTGTTTCCTTTCATTTCTTGATTGCCTGTTTTCGTTTTAATTTCAATATAGTGTAGATTCCATTAATGCAATGTTATATGCAAATCTTGGTTTCATGTACCAGATTTGCGTTTGCTTTTTTATTCTGTTCTTTCAACTTCATGGTCTATGAGAAGTGACTCCATTGCTTCAATATTCAGGTAGTAGACCCGCTAGAAGAAACTTTGAATTTGGGAGGACTTACGTGGTGAGGCCCAAGGGAAAACACCAGGCCACTATAGTTTGGTTACATGGACTTGGTGATAATGGCTCAAGGTATTGTAACTATTGATTTCCCTTCTTTCACCTCTCTCTTTTTTGTTTCCTTTCATTGCAATGGCGTTATGGCATCATACTCGAACCATTCAAAACCAAGTTTGGAATTCCAAAATACTCCTCCACCATGGAAGAAAAGAAGAATTTTTTTTCTTCAGATTTATAAAAAGTTGCAGATAATCTATTCTTTGTACTCAAAGTCCATTTCGGAATTAAGTGTTTCCAAACTCAAACATCAGTATGTTTGTAGCATGTCACTATGCAGCAAGCTATTGATCACTGTTTTTCTGTAGATTTCATCTGATAAACAGTTCAATTAGGCTAGTGGGAATTAAATCATTAATTGGAAACATATCTTGTTTATTCCTTAACTTGCCATCAGTGATTTATGCATTTTTATCTTTTCCTTTTGTATCACATACAAATACTGTGTTAGAATATGGGGGACCTTTTGGTTTGATCAAAGACAAGGAAAAGAGAAAGGAGCTAACAAATGTCAACATAGAGGCATGTTCTTTATTGGAGGGGTCCATGTGATGTCAAATTTTTTCAATGTTAAGCTCCTTTCATGAGATTCTCATTAGAATAACGTCTATGGGGAGAGCTGCATCGCAGGGAAATAATGCCGATCAGATTATTCGTCCTTTTCTGTTATTGTCATGTTTGATATTATGCTTAATTTAGGTATGCTTGAATTGGAAAACTTGCAGTATATGCCATATTCATGAATAGGGGACCCTTTCTCCCTAATTCTGGCATGCAACACAGCAATTATAAGCAGACCCTTCTTAAAGGATATTCATATGCACTTCAGCAATGGATTGTTTCTAGAGGTCATCTTCAATCTCCGAATCCTATAGGATGATCAATGAGCACTAATCCACACCCCATCTCAAATTTGCTTTGTTCTTTACACTACTGAGAACTTTGAAGATAAAGATGTTCATACATTGATGTCTTGTCTTCCACTGCTGCTTCTTGTCAAATGCTGTGATCGTACTTGGAAAATATACTGCAGATGTTTCTTAATACTTTATATTTCAATTAAGGAGAACGGAATTTTTGTTTGCTTCTGTGGCATCTGCCAAAAAGATAATCTATCTTAAAACCAGACATGTTTCTCATTTTATTCTCTGTTTGGTTGCAGCTGGTCCCAGCTACTGGAAAATCTCCCTCTTCCAAACGTAAGGAATTCTTTTTCTTTTTTCTTTTTTTTGTAATCTTGTAAACTCTGAATGTATTTCTATTTTTCTTGACTTTATCTATCACCTTGTGGAGGGACTGTTTGTATTTCTCCTCCATAATTATCTTATATTTGCATTGAAACTCATGATGCAGATTAAATGGATTTGCCCAACTGCTCCTACTCGTCCCGTAGCAATGCTGGGTGGATTTCCTTGCACTGCATGTAAGAAGATCACCTTTCCATTTCTAAATATTTCAGAACGGAATTCATTCACCTAAAATACTTACGAAATTTGCACAGGGTTCGATGTGGGAGAAATTTCAGAAGATAGTCCAGATGACTGGGACAGTCTAGATGCTTCAGCAGCACACATAGCAAACTTGTTGTCTACTGAGCCAGCTGATGGTATTTTTCAGGCTATATTTTCTGTGAACATGTAACTTATCTGCACGCAAAATTTTCCTGCTGTAAGCTTTTATAAAATATTGTGTGTTATTCCACTACAAGGGCAACTAATTTTCACAGAAAGTATAAGTTTAATTCCATCTGAAATATAAGAGGTAATTGTTTCTAGCCAGTACCAATTTACTCTAAAACCAGATTAAGCAGCTTTGATCATGTCAGCCGTTAGTTTGAACTTCTTGACCTGGTGAAGTTCTCCAAGTTGCAGTTATCATATCATGTTCGAAAATCATCTAGTATTAATGTACTGCATAAACCTGTGTCCATCTTAGCTGATTCAAATAATGGCAACTTCATTCTCTCAACACCTTTTGTGACAGTTAAAGTTGCTATTGGAGGCTTCAGCATGGGTGCTGCAACAGCCCTTTATTCTGCAACTTGTGCTGCCTTGGCACGATATGGTAATGGTAATACGTACCCTATCAACCTCAGAGCAGTTGTTGGACTAAGCGGCTGGCCTCCAGGTTCAAGGTATGAGAATTCTGAGCTTTTCTACTCTAATGAACCCTTTTACCCTTCAGCTATTACATGGATGAGGGATGGGTGGATCCACCTGCTATTTAAAGAGAGCATCTATAGAGCTCAGTACTTGTCCTCAAAATTTTCCCATATTTGCTAGTTAAAAACGGTTTTCGTCATACAGGAGCTTAAGGAGCAAAGTTGAAGCGTCACATGATGCTGCAAGGCGAGCTGCATCCTTGCCCATTTTTCTCTGCAATGGAACAAGTATGCACTCCTGTCCCTTTATGTCTCTAAAATACTCCATTTTTTTAACAGAGGTATCGATCTAGCATAATATAACTCTGGCAGTGGCATTTTAAGAATCTGGACAGTTATGAAGCTGAAATGAGTAGCTGGCTTTGCCCCAGTGACGGGAAGTTCATAAAACTTGTGTATTCCTTTGAAGCCTTTTTTTTTTTTTTTTAATTATCCAGATTTTAGCTGATCTGCTATAGACTACAACATTATTACTCAGTATGTCTATGAATATATAGGGAACTATTAGCTTCGTCTACAACCTATCATAGCTGTGAAAATGCCTAGAAAACGACCTTTCTCTTCCCCTTTATTAACAAACTATTTCCATCGCTATAGGATTTACCTTTTTTTCCTTTCCAATTGAATCTTTATGCCATTTGACTGTACTATTCCTTTTTCAGGTGATGATGTAGTCCCATATAACTACGGAGAGAAATCTGCTCAATGTTTGAGCACTGCAGGATTTCGAAACCTGACTTTCAAATCTTATGAAGGGTAAAACATTTCCTTCTGAAAGCAGGAATTAACTTGTAATCATAAAAGAACACGAAGCAGTTTTTGAGTGGCTTAATTTGACTGCAGGCTTGGTCATTACACGGTCCCAAAAGAAATGGATGAGGTTCGCACTTGGCTTACAGCGAGGCTGGGGCTTGAGGGCTCCCGCTCTTAGTTGCAGAACTGAATCAGCTGGACAAACTGTTTTACTCAGTTTGGAGCTTATGGGGAGGAAGAACGGGGAAAACAATAATGGGAAGAGGAAAAGTATTGGATTCATATAAGTAGGTAGTAATAGAACAGGTTATGAAGTATATGGTATAGATAATATAACCTTCCTAATTCCCTTTGCTTTCTTGGCTGACCTTGAAAATAAATCTTGTATGTTTTCAGTTTGATAGTAGAATTTAGCAGTAATGGTTCTAGTCAATCCTGCTTGCTCAGCATTTTGTATTGGTTAATCTAATATTCACTCTAGTGAGTTTTGCCTATTATAATTTCCTATCTCTGGTGAATGCATGACTGTTATAGTTTTCAGATATCCATTAAAGTTTTCATGCCATAACTTAGATGGAGGAAGGATGTTCATTGGTCTTTAAACCAGGCCATAGTAAAGGCAAAATATCTTATATCTCGGAATCCTAAATTTGTGAAAGTGCTGCATACGCACATGCTCAAAAGGAGATTATTGACCGAGAAGAGTACTCGTTTGGAAAAAAAAAAAACCTACAAGAGTACCTGTAAGAGTAAAATGAGCAGATGACCACAGAGTGATGAACAAGAATTTAAAAATTGCCGGAAGCTGTAAATTTAAGTCGCAACCGGTAACTACATGTGCACCTTCAAAAATTAACTGCTGTAACATTACCTAACCAAACAAGGGTGAAAAAAAGGGTCAAAATTTAGCACCATCGCGGAAATGATGCTTCCCAGATTTCTTGGGCACAATGGTTGAGCTCTGTGAGCAGTGATCTTGGAATATATCCTGAAGGACAGTACACAACTCACTTCAGCTTTGAGTAATAAAAAAGACCCATATTTTGCAAATGGCAATCCAAATAACAAAGTTATGACTTACCACACCGCACGTATTCCAGTCATTGGTATCCAGTGCTACCTTTATGATCGCCATCATTTTGATGGATTCCAGCCTGTGACTTACTATATGGAGTAAGAGAAGGGAAAGAAGGCAAATCCTCCAGAATGAATTTGCGTCCACTTCTCAACCCCCATGACGAGCTTGATCTTAACTCATTTGAACGAATTTGTGAAGGAGACAACCGTGTTTGATTAGGTGAGCAAGATTTCACTCCCTTTGTAATGGGGGTACAAGTGTTCTTGAGTGTCTCGGGCGTATCATCCTCCAATATGCTACAGAAAAAGCTGTCAGAACTGAGTTCGGGCAAAGCCTCACTTCCATATAATTTTGGAGTAAGACTACAAGGTGAATGGCGCCAATTAAGGTAGCCAGATGGTGAGAGGAGGCTGCTTTCTTGTTGCGATTGGCCTAGCAAAAGTTTTGAACAGTCCTTTATGTTGAGAGAAGCTGAAGAAGCCACTGCACCTAAGAGACAATGTGATGGTGGAGTCAGATGGCCTACATCAGCAAGTTCTTCCCATGTTGATGAGAATTGATTAGGTCTCTCAGCTTTAATGCAGTAACTATGACTCTCCAAACTATCCTGCTGCTCCTGAGATGGATTACCCCACCTTTCAACTCTTCTGTATATTGTTTCTGCAAGTTTATCATCATGAAGAAGTCAGTTTGATAGTGACTTTCGAAAAGGGGCAAAAGAAATATTCCTAGTTTGATCCAAAGAAGTTTCTGTCCTAAATCCCATTCCGACATATTTTCGAAATCTAAATAAGGATTTCCACGAGGAAACAGCAAACTTCAACAGCCTCCGCAATTGCCATCAATTTGAGTCTACAAAATATAAAAAATCTTAAAGTTGCCTAGACCTTCAGTTGTCCTACGACGCATGCGATCAAGGGCATCTGCACTACTGAAAGACATTTTAAGACTTTAATTGTTGACAATGACAGAAAAGAAATCCTCCAGCTCTAAACTTTCAGACATTCCAAAGTACAAGCCTGCAATTATAGAGGTAACAATGCTGTATAAATGGCCACATATTTTTCAGAAATGCATTTGACGAAGGCATTGGACTATTGATAATTGGATATTGTTCTCCACTGAACTTGTATGCTTGAAAAGCTCAGAGATATTAGCATATGCAATTATCAGAAGAAACGTAGTAGTTCCAACTTGCATTTAAAAAGAAAAAAGAAATTTCAAGAAAATTTTAATTAACCAATCTTGAAATCGGCACAGGCTACAATTTGCCAATATCGCTATAGTTTGAATCTCGCATACCTTAATTGCTCACGAGAAAAGAAAATCTAGGTACCATTAGTTCAACAAGTTCTATTTCTGGTGGCAGGAGATGTGTTCTTTTCTTGTTTGCCGAAACCATTGTTTAAGATATTGATTCACCACATAATCAAACCAACTGAAAATGGCTAAACAGTAGAGTAAAATGTCACCTGTTTTGTTTCCATAAGGATTGTAGCATCCTTCACATCGGCATCCATCACAGCATCCAATTCCAGCCTTAATATACAGTGAATGTTTACAAAATAAGAATAGCTCAAGGATAGAATATTTCCAATCTTTAATCTGCCATCCTAATTGAAGATGGCTGGTTGCTTTTCCTTTTTAATTCAAAGGCAAAAATGATTATAACATCAACGTTGAAAATGCTATGTAAAATCAATTTAATCCAACTAAGCAATGAGAAAGGAACAGCAATTTTTTAGAAACTCTTTTGCTTATATTACCAGAAATGTGACACAAACCTGAAAACATTCACAATATTTTTTAGAACACTTTGACTTCTTGCAGTTGCACCCACTTTTGTGCCTGGATAAGGATGGTGTCGTCCAATTTCCTTCCTTCTGTATATCATTTTCGCCTCAAATATACTCCCAATTGAGGCTAAAAAACAAGGTGGGTAACTTTAAAAATGGAGATTACCATCATATATGCTGGAGAGTTGGTGGCATGCTTAACAACCTTTGGAGCAAAAGCAAGAGGATTACGGGCTTCGATTTGTTGTCGCATATCAAGAACTGTGTCTTCATATTCAGGCTTGTTAAAGCAATTTTCACACGTACAAGTATCTAAACAATAAGCTCCAGCAGCAAAGCACTCGCAATAACTGCACGATAACGAAAATTAAAGGCAACACTGGAAAATAGCAGGATTATTAATTTTCTATTTTTCAATGCATTGTTTGATAACCTGAGGTAGTTTACAAGCTTAAACGAATCAGTTCCTTTCCTTTTGCATATGGAACATTAAGTCACTGTGGACCACTATAAAAGGTGGGAATCATCCCCAACTTCTGATAGAGTAAGACCAATTCAAAGAATCAGAAAATTCATAAAACTGCCATTGCTTGGTTTTTTTAAGGGCATTAGATATTGCTTGCCACTCCTGGACTACACCATTTGTCATTACCAAACAAGTCGGAGCCACAAAAGCACGCTGATGCTCTTTATTTTTTTTAATAAAAACAGCATGTAAAAAGATAAAAATCGTAAAAATAACTCCTGTTCACTTACAGCTTCAAGCATCTTGATCTCTTACAGTTGCAACGTCTGCAACCCTCACTCTTAATGGTGTATTTTGCCTTCTTCCTGGTTACATCAACAACAATTACAGAAGGTAAGCAAGTTGAAAAGGTATAATTAAGAGTCAGAATGTTCGAATAAAATACATTAAGGTACTCACCTATTCCTTTCAGGGCTCATTTGGTTTAACTCGACTATGTCAGCTTTTTCTGAAGAAGGCATTGCCCCCTCGCACAGAGTTGCCTGCTGCTCAAATGGTACCAAATGCAGAGAACCACAAGGAGGTTGCGTAATACTAATAGATTGATAACCAGAAGAACCTGCTCCCACAGCAGCTTGACTTTCCTGCTGTTCATCTCTCAAGTGAGTATAAATTTCCCGGGAAAAAGATAGCACTGGGATACCATCCATTTCCTTTCCTAAATAATGGTCCCTATCAGGGATTAACTTCTCCTCTTGTTGGTGCAGATTACTTCCCAATTTCTTGCTCATACTGGAGTCTGAGCCAATGGAATCGGGTCTTTCAACGCTATTTAAATGAAAACCTCCACCAGATGGAATACAAGCTGATACAGCACGGTTTCCACAATTTCGAGCTGATCTAATAGATTCATATTCAGATGGGCAGAAAGAGGACCACAATGTTGCAGTCTGAGCACAACTTCTGGCCTGCCAACTGCCAGAGATTCCTCTTGGTTCAACATGAGGTGGAACCAAACTCTCAAAGACTGTATGACGGGCTGGTAAGCATAAGTTGGCTGTCTCATGAGTCCCATTGCCAGTATTCTTGCAGGCAATTGCAGCTTCAAAATGCAAATGTCTACGTATGCCACGATGACGCTGACCAGTCTCCTGTATTGGATATAATCTTATACTATTTTAATAAACTCTAGAAAAAATTGGAAATGAATTTGTCTTGGCAATACTTAAATCAAATATTACATGGAAAGTCATTCTTTTTGCAAGAGAAACTACGTAAATCTCATAAAAAAAATCTCACTGGCATCAAGGATAATAAAAAATGAGAGTTTTAATTAAATTACTTTTTATGTTAAATTTTGCACAAATTTCTTAGCATCAATTAAACCTTTAATGGTACATTTTTCTGTTAACACGCAATAAAGAAAGCACCAAAATCTTGATTGATGCATAATAACTCGAGAGTCATTGAAGCTTATGCTTGAAAACCCACTTAATTGCAACAAATTTAGTGTGTGCTCCGATTATGCATTGCCTTTTCTAACGGGTCCTACTGTATTTTCCCAGGATAAAGAACGATCCTCGAACCTTTACAGTCAAATAAGATTCAGTTGAGCCTCAACCAAGACTCAGAGGCAAGATCTAAGCAGGACGGAAGCCGGCAATGACACTGACGCACTTGAACAAGAAACTTGAAAGATAACTGTATGTATCAAAACACGCATCACAGTGCACAACTTCAAATACTATAATAGTAAAAGGCTTTCTGAACAAAACTTAAAAAAAGTATCCCGTGCAATCATATCAGGCATAATTCATGACGAAACATTAGCTTGCTGTTAATAAGTAGATTCTTCACTTTACACCAAATAATTTTAAATTTCTATAAAGCAAATGAAAGAACTTAAAATCCAAAAAAGTCATCAATATAACTAGGTTGAACAAAGCGAGTAGAAAAAAGCAGCAATGTCTCCTGCACTATAAAAGGGCTATCGGCTATAAATGTGAACATGAAATAAACTACACAAGTTTTCAATTATATGGCTATGTATCACAAGCAGGATATCAGTTTTTTACCGTAACAGATCCTTTTGATAGCGATCCTAAGCTCTCTTTCGAATCTGTATATGCCTTATCTCTCTGCAAAGATTCAGGAAATGACTGAAAACTCGCACCAAGTTCATTATGTTGACCACCCGCAGCCTGCAACTGGATATTCTGAGGAAGGTACAACAACGAGAAACCAATTGAAATTTCGCACTGAAATTCTTGTTTTAAACATGATGAACCCAAATCAATTTATTCACCTGAGATGAAAATAGCTCGTGGTGCTGTGCTCCAAAAAAAGGGCCCCCAAATATATCAGTCTCAACGTGATCATCACCGTTTTCATACAAACACTGCAGGAACTCTCTGAAACTTTCAGTTTCTCTCTCACGTGCAGTGGCTTCGTGAAAATTCATTGAAACAGAGGGGAGTTCCCCTCCAGTTTGATCTGAAATCAAAGCTATAGCCTTTGCCTTGCCAGCATTAGTATCATCAGCTTCAGCGGTGGTTTCTTTGTGGCTTGTAAAACCACTCGTTGAAGAGTTCATAGTGTTGTCCCCCTCCACAGGATCAACCGGATATTCATCAACACATCCTGACGGACTGTATGATTGGACTTCCTATCGAATGCAAGGCATCAACTGAGGCTTCAGTTGGGCATCACTTCGTCTATAAACATCTAAACCTGCCACTCTGCGCAACTCGCTCTCAACATACCGATTGAACTCTTGAATAACAGAATTCGATGCTGTAATTTCAGTGAAAAAATAACAACGATAAATTCACTGCAAAACCAACATCATAAGCAAACAAAAAACTGTTGAAAATGATAACATCAATAAATCTCAAACCTTAATAAGGAACACTTTCGTTGCTGCAGATCTACACGAGGCGAATTAAACACAGGCAATGGGACTGGGAGGTTCGTTTGTGAAAACCTTTGGCAATACGGTGCTTCCTTAACAGATCTTATAGGAGAGAGATTGCCGAGGTAATTTAAATAAGGAGATACCTACAATTAACAAAATATATGCATATATAAATAAAAAAGGTAACAGAGAAATTAAACAGAAGAAATCACACAATTGAGACTGTTTCCAAATTTAAAAACTCTAATGAAACAACATATCATCATACAGGGATGTGACAAAGAACTAGATTGCATTATGGGATAGGTATGACATTCATGCCTACATTTCCATTTCAAAAGCAAGAAAAAAGAAGACATATCATCGAGTTTCATGATTGATGATTCTGTGGATAGAATTTTCCTTCATTTCTAAACTTCGTCTTTTTCTTTTTTTAATGAATAGAGAGAGTAGAGAGTACCCTTCATTTTTTATTACGTAGAGCAATAGTTTTGCAAAAACTAAACAACAACAGAAAGGGTTGCCTATAGTCTTCACTATAGAATCATAACAATAACACTCCGACACTAGAACACTAGGAAGAAAATAATAATAGACCAGAAAAGTTAAGAAATAAATTAGAAAATTAAATCATTTGAACAACAAAATCCCATCAGGAATAATAGTCGTGTACGTAAATTAGGAAACTGAACAGAAAAATTAGAAATGACAAAACCTAGATGCAACAGAGACACGTCCATTTCCGCGTCAAAAAAATAATCATAATAAAAACCGCATTAAACTCCTCTAAATCAACAACATTCATCTACAATGGTTCAAGTATCTGTAACAGATTCCATAAAAAGTTAAAAACTTGAAAGTAAATTGAAGTAATAAGACCGATAAAGTAAACAAGAAAATTGACTTTTTGGTTTTTTTTTCCCCTCAAATTCACAGATCAAAAACTTGACAACGAGAAACAGTAATTACCATACAAATCAAAATTAAGGACGATGTAATGAAAGCGCAAACAAAGAGTTGTTTGGGGGAAGTTGGAAGACAGAAAGATACTCGGAGGGAGACAGGAGAGAATGCAGGTGATGAGGACGTGAAGGGGATGATGTGATTGCCTTCAGGAGAATCCATATTGTTGTTCGAAAACAGAAGTAAAAAGGTTTTGCACCAATATTATCATCATCATTATAATCTGTTTGTTATTACGTTTGTGTCAGCGATAAAGAGAGAGAAAGAAGAAGGCTATTGTTTTTTTGAGGGCTGGGATGGGATGGGATGACAACAACAAGAACAGCACAATCAGAGGTGAGGATTTTGTTGGCGTTTCTTTTTGAACCTCGTACCGAGCGGGAACAGCAGCTTTTGTTTTGTTTTGTTTTGTTTCTGTTTTTTTGTTTTTTGGCCTTTTTCCTTTTCTTTTTATTGCTAAGGACTGGGCTTTTGTAATCTATGAGCCCATACACTCGCGTTTTGGGTTAGATGACCAGCAGAACAGTTTATACCTTCACGGAGAACAACTAAGAAACTAAATTCTTGAAGTAATATATAATATGTAAAGATATTTTTGTTAAACGTGAATAAACTTAAAATAGTAAGAAAATAGGAATACTTTTATATTTTTAATTTGAGGAGAGGATGACTGAGATGTATGAGAATTGAAAAATCGAGGGTTCATCTTGTTGGACATGAAGGATGGAGATGCCAGTAAAGATTAGAAAGATTCTTTCTCCTTCGTAGATTTGAATTCTACTAATAAATTGACTCTCATTCTTCTTTTTTTAATTTGCATTACTTCAATTTGAATGAGTTAATTCTTTTTTTCCTTTATTTATTAGCTAAACAATTATATATATATATATATATATATATATATATATATATATATATATATATATATATATATATATATATATATATATATATTGAACAGGGATGGAAGTTGACTCATTCATCATTTTCTTTTTTTCCTTTTTCTTTTTCTTTTTTTCACTTTATTCCACGAGATAAGAGTGTGCGGCATTTGGTTTAAATGAACTCGAAATATTAATTTCAATTCGGTTTTAAACTCAAAATGTATATATAAAAAACGAACTTGTTATAAAATAAATAGAAATGATAGGAGAATTGAAGAAAATGATGACAAGAAAATGAAATCATTATAATGTGAATATGAGTGATAAGAACTTCAAAGTTTCTCTTATTCTCTCTAGGAAACTTGTACATCAACAAATGAACAATCAAGCCTATCTATAGGCCTCAAAATTGAGATGAGAATTGGAAGGGACTATGAATAATTAAAAGTATATCAATTGCATCACCTTTTCAATTTCTTCTATTGAATGGTGAATTGAATCACATTAAGAATCATGAGTAGTGGAGATATGAAAAGTAGATGGACATTCATATGGACATTCATTATTTTATAACACTCCCTCGAATGTCCATTGCACAAGGAATATGCCTCATTAAAACCTTACTAGGAAAAAACCCGAGTGGGAAAAAAATCCTAATGAAGGAAAAAGAGTACAATATTCCTTGCACACATTAATCCTCATTTTTGTCTCCCCTGTTGAAGACATTATTTAAGATCTCTAAGATGATGCATTTCAATCTTGTGAATTATCTTCGCAAAAATTATGGTAGGTAACAACTTAGTGAACAAATCTGTTGGATTGTCACTTTGATGTATTCTTCCTTCAATGAAACTATGCAAGCAACATTATCCCATATGATATTGTTGGAACTTCTTTTGCTGATAGATAAACCGTATATCTCTCGGATATGATGGATTGTTGATCTTAGCCAAACATATTCTCGACTTGCCTCGTGAATTGATATTTCCGCATGATTTGAAGATGTGGCAGCTATAGTTTGCTTCATAGAACGCCATGATATAGCTGTATCTTCATATGTAAATACATAACCAGTTTGAGATCGAGCTTTGTATGGATCAGTTAAATAACCTCGCATCGCATAATTAATCTTGTCTTTCATTTATTGGAGTAATATCAACCCATATCAATTATTCCTCGAAGATAACGTAGTATATATTTAACTTTATTTCAATGTCTCTATATTGAAATAGAACTATGACTTGCTAACAAATTTATAGAAAAGACTATATTAAGTCGAGTATTATTAGCAAGATACATCAATGCACCAATGGCACTAAAATATGGTACTTCGGGACCAAGTAGTTCTTCGTTATCTTCTCGAGGTCAAAAAGGATCTTTTTAGATATCAAGTGAATGAACTATCATTGGGCTAGTCAATGAATGATCTTTATATAGAATCATTGTAGAACCTTTTTCTATATAAATTGACTAATGAATGAAAATCTCATTCTCCGAGTGCTCGAACTGCGAGTCGAGATAACATTTTGTTTTTCCAAGATATTCACATCAAATTCTCTTTTTAAGTAACTTATGACACTTGGAATCTCTTCTGGAAGTTCTAATAATATTTAAGTTATCAACATATAAAACAAACCCCTTTTCAAATAAAAACATATGAACAAATAGAGTTATTTTTTATAACTTTCTTTCAAGAAATAATCATTGAAGTGATTATATCACATGCACACGGGTTAGTAATAAACAATAGATATAAAAATAAAATATAAAAAGTATAAATTGAATTTCTAAAAACCAAAATAATAAAACAAATACTAAAATAATCCTAATAGAGATCTCTATAATTTAATTGAATTCTTTTCTCGAGAATATGTATTACATGCTTCGGCATGTTAAGTCCTTCTAGGACTTTCATACCGATATCATTTCAAATGAACAAATAAACTATGATCACATTCATTAAATGCATGCATATGAATGTTTTTCATATATTTTTCCAAGCTAATGAGATAACAAAAGACAATTGCATCCATCATAGGAGAATATGTCTCCTCATAGTCAATGTCAATTCTTTACGAAAACTTTTATGTTAAAAGTTTTGCTTTATATCTTATAATCTCATCTTTTTTATTTTATTTTTGCATAAATACATATTTGTATCCCACTAACTTAACATCTTCGAGTGTTTTAGCTATGGGTTCAAAAAACTACTCTTTTATAAGAGAACATAATTTTGCCTAGATTGCTCTTTTCATTTAGGCCAATCATCTTTATGTCGACATTCTTCAATAATTTAGGCTCGGGATCCTTATTTTCATCCATAATATCAATTGCAATATTATATGCAAAAATCTTATCAATAGATATTTCTTTTCGGTCCTATTTTCTCTTTGTATTGATATAATTTATCAAAATCTCTTGATTTTTCTCAAGTATTTGGACTTCTTCTGAAGCCTATTATCGAAATATATTGGACCGTTTTGTAAATATTTTCATTTTTCCTTTTTCTTTTAGGAATTTTTATCTTTAGAACCGATTGGTCTTTCATGCTTCGGGCGTGCTTTAAATTTGTTAGTAGAATGTAGCACCATCGGACATGTGATGGAAAACAACTCTTATCGGCCACCATTGTTTAACGACGACCGACATGGATTCGTAGGAATTCTCGTCGGTTGCTCGTTGGAGTATCACTCTCTATACACCATTGGTGTCTTTGCCATGAGGGCTTCCCGTGGTGGAGAAGACCCCTTCCTCAATGTAACTGTCTCCCGTCGTTAGATAGTTATGAGACGCAGTGGGGGATGTGAGGGTTACGAGGCAAGGAGGGTAAGAGGTTTCGTTGAGGAACGGATCGAAGAAACGATCGTTCTCGGTTTCCAAGGGTGGCTTTGGTTTGTATCATGGCATGCGAGTGGGGGTCACTCGAAGTATTTTATTCTTTACATATTAAGATGTAAAGAATGTTCGAGTGTTGTGGGATGGAATTCAATTTAGCTAAGAGGAAACCGGGGGGCATTGCATTGAGGATATCGTAAAAAGATGTATTTGGAGCGAAAGCGAAAGTTGGAGGACTAAGATGCCATGGTTGCAAAAGATAGTTTATTAAGGGGTTGGATGATGTGGCGAGCGGCTCCCTCGTTTCCTCGTATAATATTACTAGAGGAAACGAGTGGGGAGTGGGAGCCGAGGTGGCGAGCGGAGAACCGTCCGATGGGACGGATGGACGGCTCGGATTCAATCCGAGCAAAGTGGTCGTACAAGTGCCCACTTTGTGATTGCTCGTTAGATTAAAGCATCGCTTTACCGGATAGCCGTTAGATTAAATGAAAATGCTTTGTCATAAAGCATGTGGACTTAGTTCCTACAGGTGTCGGTACCCACGTGCTTGGGGTAATCATGACAAGAGGAAGGATATATGAATGGGCCCCACGTAGTAAATGCGAGTATAAAAGGAGTGTAACGTGGGAGCGGTAGGGTCGGGGAATATATCGAGTGGGGAAAGGAACACGCAGATACGGTATCCTATAGAATAATAATATATTTGTACTCGCGTGTTGATATTAAGGAATATACCATTGAGCCATGAGTGTTGGAAGTAATCCAAAATGTTTAATCGGTATGATTTGCATGTGTGCGGTAAAGTACCTCCGGATAGTGGAGGAGACCATGAGGTGTCGGATGACGCCATTGAAGAGGTCCTCTCTGTTTACGGGAGAAGGACACCTTCCTAATTCCCCGGGGATAACGGGGAGTTGATACGGATTGTACGCAGATACGGTAGTGTACGTGATAAGAGGAGACCTAATGGTGACTACGTGAATTGGAAGGAATTATGGAGCGAATACCGTGGGAGCTCGTCTCCCGATGTGGGGTGTGAGAAAGGCCGGAAAGATGGGCCAACGGGGAAGGACTAGTGGGCGAAAAGGGCTTCTAAGCCCAAATCGAGGCGGTCCAAGAAGGGTGTACCGTGGGCTTCAAAGGTGTAAGTAAGGCCCACACCATAGACGTGATAAAGACATGTTTTCACGATGATCGTGGGCTCGGGTCGTTATCTAATATAGATAGGGGTAATGACCTTGGTCGAGAGAGGGTAGGAGGATTAGGGTTACTGAGTGTGTATTATGTGGTAAAGTGTAATTAAAGGATGCGAATGTGATATTACTATGGTCAAATATCCGTAAGATATTGATAATGAAGGAGATGAGACGAGGCACCGAGCATTTGGGGTTGCCCCTTTGAAGGATATGACGGATAGTGAACCCCTATCAGCCTTTATAAAAATGGATTATAAAAAGAAAATACAATTAATGTAATTAAGAAAATACAACACTACGAAATACAACACAGGCGTAAGCAACGAATATGTTTATGAATAAGGCCGGTAGGGCAGGGGGCCCTGGGCGATAGGTCGGGGTCTTGGGACTTAGTAGAATGTAGCACCATCGGACATGTGATGGAAAACAACTCTTATAGGCCACCATTGTTTAACGAGCGATGGACATGGATTCGTAGGAATTCTCGTCGGTTGCTCGTTGGAGTATCACTCTCTATACACCATTGGTGTCTTTGCCATGAGGGCTTCCCGTGGTGGAGAAGACCCCTTCCTCAATGTAACTGTCTCCCGTCGTTAGATAGTTATGAGACGCGATGGGGGATGTGAGGGTTGCGAGGCAAGGAGGGTAAGAGGTTTCGTTGAGGAACGAGATCGAAGAAACGATCGTTCTCGGTTTCCGAGGGTGGCTTTGGTTTGTATCATGGCATGCGAGTGGGGGTCACTCGAAGTATTTTATTCTTTACATATTAAGATGTAAAGAATGTTCGAGTGTTGTGGGATGGAATTCAATTTAGCTAAGAGGAAACCGGGGGGGCATTGCATTGAGGATATCGTAAAAAGATGTATTTGGAGCGAAAGCGAAAGTTGGAGGACTAAGATGCCATGGTTGCAAAAGATAGTTTATTAAGGGGTTGGATGATGTGGCGAGCGGCTCCCTCGTTTCCTCGTATAATATTACTAGAGGAAACGAGTGGGGAGTGGGAGCCGAGGTGGCAGAGCGGAGAACCGTCCGATGGGACGGATGGACGGCTCGGATTCAATCCGAGCAAAGTGGTCGTACAAGTGCCCACTTTGTGATTGCTCGTTAGATTAAAGCATCGCTTTACCGGATAGCCGTTAGATTAAATGAAAATGCTTTATCATAAAGCATGTGGACTTAGTTCCTACAGGTGTCGGTACCCACGTGCTTGGGGTAATCATGACAAGAGGAAGGATATATGAATGGGCCCCACGTAGTAAATGCGGTATAAAAGGAGTGTAACGTGGGAGCGGTAGGGTCGGGGAATATATCGAGTGGGGGAAGGAACACGCGGATACGGTATCCTATAGAATAATAATATATTTGTACTTGCGTGTTGATATTAAGGAATATACCATTGAGCCATGAGTGTTGGAAGTAATCCAAAATGTTTAATCGGTATGATTTGCATGTGTGCGGTAAAGTACCTCCGGATAGTGGAGGAGACCATGAGGTGTCGGATGACGCCATTGAAGAGGTCCTCTCTGTTTACGGGAGAAGGACACCTTCCTAATTCCCCGGGGATAACGGGGAGTTGATACGGATTGTACGTAGATACGGTAGTATACGTGATAAGAGGAGACCTAATGGTGACTACGTGAATTGGAAGGAATTATGGAGCGAATACCGTGGGAGCTCGTCTCCCGATGTGGGGTGTGAGAAAGGCCGGAAAGATGGGCCAACGGGGAAGGACTAGTGGGCCGAAAAGGGCTTCTAAGCCCAAATCGAGGCGGTCCGAAGGGTGTACTGTGGGCTTCAAAGGTGTAAGTAAGGCCCACACTATAGACGTGATAAAGACATGTTTTCACGATGGTCGTGGGCACAGGGTCGTTATCTAATATAGATAGGGGTAATGACCTTGGTCGGAGAGAGGGTAGGAGGATTAGGGTTACTAAGTGTGTATTATGTGGTAAAGTGTAATTAAAGGATGCGAATGTGGTATTACCATGGTCAAATATCCGTAAGATATTGATAATGAAGGAGATGAGACGAGGCACCGAGCATTTGGGGTTGCCCTTTGAAGGATATGACGGATAGTGAACCCCTATCAGCCTTTATAAAAATGGATTATAAAAAGAAAATACAATTAATGTAATTAAAAAAATACAACACTACGAAATACAACACGAGCGTAAGCAACGAATATGTTTATGAATAAGGCCGGTAGGGCGGGGGGCCCTAGGCGGTAGGTCGGGGTCTTGGGACTTAGTAGAATGTAGCACCATCGGACATGTGATGGAAAACAACTCTTATCGGCCACCATTGTTTAACGAGCGACCGACATGGATTCGTAGGAATTCTCGTCGGTTGCTCGTTGGAGTATCACTCTCTATACACCATTGGTGTCTTTGCCATGAGGGCTTCCCGTGGTGGAGAAGACCCCTTCCTCAATGTAACTGTCTCCCGTCGTTAGATAGTTATGAGACGCGATGGGGGATGTGAGGGTTGCGAGGCAAGGAGGGTAAGAGGTTTCGTTGAGGAACGAGATCGAAGAAACGATTGTTCCTGGTTTCCAAGGGTGGCTTTGGTTTGTATCATGGCATGCGAGTGGGGGTCACTCGAAGTATTTTATTCTTTACATACTAAGATGTAAAGAATGTTCGGGTGTTGTGGGATGGAATTCAATTTAGCTAAGAGGAAACCGGGGGGCATTGCATTGAGGATATCGTAAAAAGATGTATTTGGAGCGAAAGCGAAAGTTGGAGGACTAAGATGCCATGGTTGCAAAAGATAGTTTATTAAGGGGTTGGATGATGTGGCGAGCGGCTCCCTCGTTTCCTCGTATAATATTACTAGAGGAAACGAGTGGGGAGTGGGAGCCGAGGTGGCGAGCGGAGAACCGTCCGATGGGACGGATGGACGGCTCGGATTCAATCCGAGCAAAGTGGTCGTACAAGTGCCCACTTTGTGATTGTCGTTAGATTAAAGCATCGCTTACCGGATAGCCGTTAGATTAAATGAAAATGCTTTATCATAAAGCATGTGGACTTAGTTCCTACGGTGTCGGTACCCACGTGCTTGGGGTAATCATGACAAGAGGAAGGATATATGAATGGGCCCCACGTAGTAAATGCGGTATAAAAGGAGTGTAACGTGGGAGCGATAGGGCGGGGAATATATCGAGTGGGGGAAGGAACACGCGATATACGTATTCTATAGAATAATAATATGAATGTATTGCGCGTTGATATTAAGGCATATTCCATTGAGCCATGAGTGTTGGAAGTTATCCAAAATGTTTAAGCGGTATGATTTGCATGTGTGCTTGTAAAGTACCTCCGGATAGTGGAGAAGAGCATGAGGTGTCAAATGACGCCATTGAAGAAGTCCTCTCTGTTTACGGGAGAAGGACACCTTCCTATTTCCCTGGGGCTAACGGGGAGTTGATACGGAATGTACGCAGATACGGTAGCGTACTTGATAAGAGGAGACCTAATGGTGACTACTTGAATTGGAAGGAATTATGGAGCGAATACCGAGGGAGCTCGTCTCCCGATATGGGGTGTGAGAAAGGCCGGAAAGATGGGCCAACGGGGAAGGACTAGTGGGCGAAAGGGCCTCTAAGCCCGAAAGGGCCTCTAAGCCCAAAACGAGGCGGTCCAGAAGGGTGTACTGTGGGCTTCAAAGGTCTAAGTAAGACCCACACCATAGACGTGATAAAGACATGTTATCACGATGGTGGTGGGCTCGAGGCTGTTATCTAATATAGATAGGGGTGATGACCTTGGTCGAGAGAGAGGGCAGGAGGATTAGGGTTACTAAGATTGTATTACGTGCTTAAAGTGTATTTAAATGATGTTAACGCTCTATTACCATGGTCAAATATCCGTAAGATATTGATAATGAAGGATATGAGACTAGGCACCGAGCATTTGGGGATGCCTCTTTGAAGGATATGACGGATAGTGAACCCCTATCGGCCTTTATAAAAATGGATTATAAATACAAAATACAATTAATGAAATTGAGAAAATACAACATTACGAAATACAACACGAGCGTAAGCAACGAATATGTTTATGAATAAGGCCGGTAAGGCAAGGGGGCCCAGGGCGGTAGGTCGGGGTCTTGGGACTTAGTAGAATGTAGCACCATCGAAAGCGAAAGTTGGAGGACTAAGATGCCATGGTTGCAAAAGATAGTTTATTGAGGGGTTGGATGACGTGGCGAGCGGCTCCCTCGTTTCCTCGTATAATATTACTAGAGGAAACGAGTGGGGAGTGGGAGCCGAGGTGGCGAGCGGAGAACCGTCCGATGGGACGGATGGACGGCTCGGATTCAATCCGAGGCAAGTGTTCGTACAAGTGCCCACTTGCTTATAGCCGTTAGATTAAAGCATCGCTTTACCGGATAGCCGATTAGATTAAATGAAAATGCTTTATCATAAAGCATGTGGACTTATTTCCTACGGTGTCGGTACCCACGTGCTTGGGGTAATCATGACAAGAGGAAGGATATATGAATGGGCCCCACGTAGTAAATGCGGTATAAAAGGAGTGTAACGTGGGAGCGATAGGGGCGGGGAATATATCGAGTGGGGGAAGGAACACGCGGATATCGTATTCATAGAATAATAATATGAATGTACTTGCGTGTGGATATTAAGGCATATTCCATTGAGCCATGAGTGTAGGAAGTTATCCAAATTGGTTAAACGGTATGATTTGCATGTGTCTTGTAAAGTACCTCCGGATAGTGGAGAAGAGCATGAGGTGTCAATGACGCCATTGAAGAAGTCCTCTCTGTTTACGGGAGAAGGACACTTTCCTAATTCCCGATAAGGACTAGTGGGCCGAAAGGGCTTCTAAGCCCAAAACGAGGCGGTCCAGAAGGGTGTAGCTGTGGGCTTCGAAGGTCTAAGTAAGGCCCACACCATAGACGTGATAAAGACATGTATCACGATGGTCGTGGGCTCGGGTCGTTATCTAATATAGATAGGGGTGATGACCTTGGTCGGAGAGATGGTAGGAGGATTAGGGTTACTAAGATTGTATTACGTGGTAAAGTGTATTTAAATGATGTTAACGCTCTATGACCATGGTCAAATATCCGTAAGATATTGATAATGAAGGATATGAGACTAGGCACGGAGCATTTGGGGTTGCCTATTTGAAGGATATGACGGATAGTGAACCCCTATCGGCCTTTATAAAAATGGATTATAAATACAAAATACAATTAATGAAATTGAGAAAATACAACACTACGAAATACAACACAGCGTAAGCAACGAATATGTTTATGAATAAGGCCGGTAGGGCGGGGGCCCTGGGCGGTAGGTCGGGGTCTTGGGACTTAGTAGAATGTAGCACCATCGAAAGCGAAAGTTGGAGGACTAAGATGCCATGGTTGCAAAAGATAGTTTATTAAGGGGTTGGATGATGTGGCGAGCGGCTCCCTCGTTTCCTCGTATAATATTACTAGAGGAAACGAGTGGGGAGTGGGAGCCGAGGTGGCGAGCGGAGAACCGTCCGATGGGACAAATGGACGGCTCGGATTCAATCCGAGGCAAGTGTTCGTACAAGTGCCCACTTGCTTATAGCCAGTTAGATTAAAGCATCGCTTTACCGGATAGCCGTTAGATTAAATGAAAATGCTTTATCATAAAGCATGTGGACTTAGTTCCTACGAGTGTCGGTACCCACGTGCTTGGGGTAATCATGACAAGAGGAAGGATATATGAATGGCCCCACGTAGTAAATGCGGTATAAAAGGAGTGTAAAGTGGGAGCGATAGGGCGGGGAATATATCGAGTGGGGGAAGGAACACGCGGATATCGTATTCTATAGAATAATAATATGAATGTATTGCGTGTGGATATTAAGGCATATTCCATTGAGCCATGAGTGTAGGAAGTTATCCAAATTGGTTAAGCGGTATGATTTGCATGTGTCTTGTAAAGTACCTCCGGATAGTGGAGAAGAGCATGAGGTGTCGGATGACGCCATTGAAGAAGTCCTCTCGTTTACGGGAGAAGGACACTTTCCTAATTCCCGATAAGGACTATTGGGCCGAAAGGGCTTCTAAGCCCAAAACGAGGCGGTCCAGAAGGGTGTACCTTTGGGCTTCAAAGGTCTAAGTAAGGCCCACACCATAGACGTGATAAAGACATGTATCACGATGGTCGTGGGCCGGGTCATTATCTAATATAGATAGGGGTGATGACCTTGGTCGGAGAGATGGTAGGAGGATTAGGGTTACTAAGATTGTATCACGTGGTAAAGTGTATTTAAATGATGTTAACGCTCTATGACCATGGTCAAATATCCGCAAGATATTGATAATGAAGGATATGAGACTAGGCACGGAGCATTTGGGGTTGCCTATTTGAAGGATATGACGGATAGTGAACCCCTATCGGCCTTTATAAAAATGGATTATAAATACAAAATACAATTAATGAAATTGAGAAAATACAACACTACGAAATACAACACGAGCGTAAGCAACGAGATATGTTTATGAATAAGGCCGGTAGGGCGGGGGCCCCGGGCGGTAGGTCGGGGTCTTGGGACTTAGTAGAATGTAGCACCATCGAAAGCGAAAGTTGGAGGACTAAGATGCCATGGTTGCAAAAGATAGTTTATTAAGGGGTTGAGGGGTGTCCGGCACTGGCCTCAAGCGTTTCCTCTTATAATATTACTAGAGGAAACGCTTGCGTCGGTGACACCGACGTGGCACGCTCCGGATCGTCCGATGGGACAGATGGACGGCCGAGATTCAATCTCGGCAAAGCAAACAGTGTTTGACACCAAAATGTGGGCCGTTAGATCAAAGTGTCGGTTTGATCGGAGCCGTTGATGTAAAGTAGAGTGGGGTAAATGCTTTATCATAAAGCATGTGGACTTATTTCCTACGGTGTCGGTACCCACGTGCTTGGGGTAATCATGACAAGAGGAATGATATATGAATGGGCCCCACGTAGTAAATGCGATATAAAAGGAGTGTAACGTGGGAGCGGTAGGGTCGGGGAATATATCGAGTGGGGAAGGAACACGCGGATATCGTATTCATAGAATAATAATATGAATGTACTTGCGTGTGGATATTAAGGCATATTCCATTGAGCCATGAGTGTTGGAAGTTATCCAAATTGGTTAAGCGGTATGATTTGCATGTGTGCTTGTAAAGTACCTCCGGATAGTGGAGAAGAGCATGAGGTGTCGGATGACGCCATTGAAAAAGTCCTCTCTCGTTTACGGGAGAAGGACACTTTCCTAATTCCAAAATAAATAAAAATGATAGGAGAATTGAAGAAAAGGATGACAAGAAAATGGAATCATTATAATGTGGATACAAGTGATAAGAACTTCAAAGTTTCTCTTATTCTCTCTAGGAAACTTGTACATCAACAAATGAACAATCAAGTCTATTTATAGGCCTCAAAATTGAGATGAGAATTGGAAGGGACTATGAATAATTAAAAGTACATCAATTGCATCACCCTTTCAATTTCTTATATTGAATGGTGAATTGAATCACATTAAGGATCATGAGTAGTGGAGATATGAAAAGTAGATGGACATTCATATGAACATTCATTATTTAATAACGTAATCGAATTTATTTTAGTCTTTTTTTTGTTCGAGTTTTTGAAATTTTCAATTCGATTTAAACTAAAAATCAAATTATATTTTTTTAAAAGAATAATATAACTAAACTAAAAAAAAATCAACGAGTTTAACGTTATTATAAATATATAATGAATTGATAGTGTTTTGAATAGTATGAGTAAGTTTTTAATTTTTATTTGCTTGATATATGAATTTTCCAAACTTTCGATAAATTATCCGGCTTGATGTGTATTTTTTTTTTTTAAGAGAAAATTCCAAGCCATGAAAGTTAATGGATCATTGGTTTATATTTCTATTGTGGTTGAAAGATTTTAATAATTAATATCATGTATTTTTTATTCAATATTATCAACTAACTATATTATTTTTATTTTCTATGTGGATTCTATTTCTATTACAGATCATGCTTTTAATGGTTTATTTAAATATAAGTACTATCTTTCATATAAGATAATTTAGTCCTTTTAAGCTTGAGAGAAGGCTCCATAGTCGGTGACACAATTTTTTTATTCTATTTATATTATTTTTTTTAAAAAATATTTTTTTCGGAAAAGCCAAACCAAAAAAAAAATTTAGTTTTATAAATAGAAAAATAAAATAAAAATTCAGTTAAAATTCGTTTTTTCCAAACCGAAAACCGAATGCTCACCCTATCCATAGTTCCATTCCTACTTCCCCTTTTCAATCCCTCCTGCAGGCACCGGCAAGATGCCATGTGACAGCTAAGAGTCTGCTTAAGTGGTTTGGGCTTAATGGGCCGCAGCAGCCTAGATTGGGTTTCTGTACATCTCAATATGTAGGCTTGAAGCCCATTTTTTATGAACTTTGGACTTAGCTCACTGTTGTAGTGGAGCCTATTTTCTTCTCAGGCAAAAGAACAAAAATAAAAATAGCTACAATTGTATACACTGTTTAGCCCAAAGTTTAAACCCTAAACCCTAAGAAAGCGAAGCAAAACTCAGCTTGCTTTCTTCTCCACATCACTTTCTTCTCAGAGAGGAGGCATCAGACAAAACAGAAGATGAATTACAGATTTCAAAACCTGCTTGGAGCTCCTTACAGAGGAGGCAACGTTGTAATTACCCAAAACACCCAACTAATATCACCAGTCGGCAACAGAGTATCCATAACCGACCTCCTCAAATCCCAAACCATAACCCTCCCACTCCAGTCCTCCTCCAACATTCGCCGCATCGCCGCCTCCCCCGACGGTACTTTCCTCCTCACCGTCGATGAGAACCACCGCTGCCACTTCATCAACATCGCCCGCCGCGTCATCCTCCACCGCATTAACTTCAAAAATACAGTAAACGCCCTCAAATTCAGCCCTGATGGTAAATTCATTGCGGTTGCGGTAGGGAAGTTGGTCCAAATCTGGCGGTCTCCGGGGTTCAAGAAGGAATTTTTGCTTTCGAGTTAGTTAGGACGATCGCTGATTGCGAGGATACAGTTACAGCTATTGATTGGAGCTTAGACAGTAAGTATTTGCTTCTTGGCTCGAAGGATTTAACAGCCCGCCTCTTTTGCGTTGAGAAATTGAAAGATGGGATTTTGAATAAGCCCTTTTTGTTTTTAGGACATAGAGATAATGTTGTTGGTTGTTTCTTTGGTTATGATAAGAAAAATACTAGTAAAGTTAACAATGTTTATACAATTACGCGTGATTGTTATATTTTTAGTTGGGGTTATACTGGTAATAATGATGATAATTTTGATGAAAATGATGGGGGAAATTCAGAGCCCGCCTCTCCTGGGACACCGGAGAGGGATGGTGAAGGGAACGTGGATAGTGGGAGTGAGGGCAATGTTAAGAAAAGGAAGGATTTTGATGGGAAAGATGGGGGAGAAGAAGGGTATTTGCATAAGCGGAAATGGGAATTGTTAAGGAAAGATGGGTTTATGCAATCACCAGCAAAGTTAACTGCTTGTGATTACCATAGGGGGCTTGATATGGTCGTGGTGGGGTTTTCTAATGGTGTTTTTGGGTTATATCAAATGCCGGATTTTGTTTGCATGTATTTGTTGTCTATGTCGAGGGAGAAGATTACTGCTGCAGTGTTCAATGAGATTGGGAATTGGTTGACATTTGGTTGTGCAAAGTTGGGACAGTTGCTCGTGTGGGAATGGCGGTCAGAGAGTTATGTATTGAAGCAACAAGGGCATTACTTTGACGTGAATTGCTTGACTTATTCACCAGATTCACAATTGCTGGCTACTGGGGCGGATGATAACAAAGTAAAGGTAAAAAATGAGTATGCAGAGATATTTAATGTTTTTGGGAAGTTGTAGTCACCTAGCATGCTCTTCTTAGATCGACTGCATTATGAAAATGTCTGCATGATAAAATTGTTGGGTAATTCCAGGATATTTAGGTGTATTACTGTTGTATTTATGGATGGTCTAAAATAAATGGACTGCTATGTGCATGCATGTGCACGTAATTGGTTGCAAAAATGTTATGCTTATTTGGTTGATATGCAATTGCTAATGTATATTGTGGACAGTATATTGGAAAAAAGTTATTGATGCAGTTGCAAAAATGTTGTGTTTTTTGTCTATTATCTATATGGTATATTTATATGTTGTGTGTTTGTTTGTGTCATGTGTGCAAGTGTGTGTCTTTGTTACGTGCAATTGGTTGGATCCTGTATTTGTTCTCCATGTTCTGTTCATCATCCTTCAATTTTTCAAATTGTTTATCTAACTTTTGTCCTATAAGCCATCTGCTGTTGCAGTGTTGGCCTTTGATAAGGTAGCAAATTTTATTTAAAATGATGTAGCCGGTAACTAATGTATGTTTTTGTGATGTTTGGTAAGGGTGTGATCGTACTGACTTTGTGTTTGCCTTCAACAGTTCCTATGGTAGTATATTGTTACTATTTTTTATGTATCATGTGAACTTAGCTCTATACTGAATTTTAGTAATGTGAAAATCCTTGGAATATTGATTAGGAGATCTTGTGCAGGCTTATTTCCTAATACCTTTGCAATATGATGATCCGTTATTCGTTTCTGATTGTTTAGCTTTTGATCATGTGCTATATTCTCATCTTGTTGTGACTCCTTTATTGTTTTTTACTTGAATGTCATATGAATGTGTTAGTAGTTGCTTGTTACAGGTTTGGACTGTTTCATCAGGCTTTTGCTTTGTAACATTCTCAGAGCACACCAATGCTGTGACTGCTCTTCATTTTATGGCTAACAACCATTGTCTTTTAAGTGCATCTCTTGACGGAACTGTGCGTGCTTGGGATTTGTTCCGTTATCGAAATTTTAGGACATTTACCACCCCTTCTTCAAGGCAGTTTGTCTCTTTGGCAGCAGACCAAAGTGGGGAAGTAATTTGTGCCGGCACTCTAGATTCATTTGAGGTACCAATGCCCTCTTGCTGCTGTATTGAGACCAATCTTCTGTTTTCTTTATATATATATATATGTATGTATGTATGTATGTATGTATATATATATTTTTCCTGACAGAGTGCTTGATTTTTTTATGCAATAGATATTTGTTTGGTCAATGAAGACAGGCCGTTTATTGGATGTCCTTAGCGGTCATGGAGGTCCTGTTCATGGGCTGACATTTTCACCCACAAATGTGAGTTGTATTTGATATCTCTACCTGCGCTCACTGGTTGTGCATCCCTTATTTGTATTAGTTCCTCTTGGTTTCTGTGTTTCGTCTGAAGTGGTTTATTTACATGAATTTGTTATGATGTTTGATCCCCCATCTAGATTTGTCACATAACACTTATCCTGGATTCTTGTAAATTAACTTATAGCAAACATATAAACAAATTTGTTAGGTTATAGTCAGCTTTCCTTACTTATTGATTCACAAGTGGCTTTCTTTCTGAAGTAAACATATTTCGCCTGTAGGCAGTCTTAGCTTCATCATCATGGGACAAAACCGTTCGCTTGTGGGATGTTTTTGAAGGAAAAGGTGCTGTTGAAACGTTCCCTCATACACATGACGTTCTTACTGTGGTTTATCGTCCAGATGGAAGGCAATTGGCTTGCAGCACATTAGATGGGCAGATTCATTTTTGGGACCCCATTGATGGCTTGTTAATGTACACCATTGAGGGCCGCAGGGATATTGCTGGAGGACGTCTCATGACTGATCGTAGATCAGCAGCAAACTCTACTGCAGGAAAGTGCTTCACGACCTTATGCTATTCTGCTGATGGGAGTTATATATTAGCTGGGGGAAGTAGCAAGTATATCTGTATGTACGATGTTGCTGATCAGGTTTGCTCCATTCTTATGTATAACCTTGTGCTTATCATTTCACATTTTTATTTTGTAAATGTTTCAAATTGTTCAATTAAATAGTTTTATTGTTACCTGAACATCATCACAACATGTTTCTATCCTTAACTGGAAAGCTCAAACATTTTTATTTTGTCATGTATAAGCTAATTGAATGTAGAAAATTAGATCGAGAACTACTTGGATGTTGGAGATACTTTTGAAGATGGTATAACTTAATACCTAGTTGCTTATTCTTCCATTTTACATTTGTTTGGATGGGTTCCTGGATCTTCCATTGTATCTCTCTTAATGTTTTAAGTAGTTGATTGATTTATGTATGAACTGCAGGTTCTGCTGCGTCGCTTCCAAATAACTCACAACCTCTCACTTGATGGAGTGCTGGATTTCTTGAACTCGAAGAGAATGACAGATGCTGGTCCACTTGATTTAATCGATGATGATGACTCTGATGCTGAAGAAGGCATTGATAAACAAACTCGAGGAAAGTTGGGGTATGATTTACCAGGATCCATGCCCAATCGTGGAAGGCCTATTATTAGAACAAAATGCCTGAGAATTGCACCCACTGGGCGAAGCTTTGCAGCAGCAACAACAGAGGGGGTTCTAGTTTATTCAATTGATGAATCCTTTATCTTTGATCCCACTGATCTAGACATAGATGTTACACCAGAGGTATCTCACGTACTTTTGTAAATTTTTGTGAAACAAGTACAACTTTAGTTTTCTTCTCTCGTGTAAGTACTTATCATGGAGAATTCAAAGCATGTTATAAGACTGTCAAATGATCAGCACCTTCTTAGTTGTAAATAACAATTTTTCTTTATTGATAATTATAGTATTATTTTCTTCTGCTGATTTTATTTGATGACTACAATGGTGTGCAGGCCGTTGAAGAAGCATTAGATGAAGATCAACCAAACAGAGCTTTAATTCTCAGCCTTCGTCTGAACGAGGATTCTCTAATAAAAAAATGCATTTTTTCTGTCAGTCCATTGGATATACCAGTTGTGGCCTCCTCGGTCCCATACAGATATCTGCAGAGATTAATCGAAGCATTTTCTGATCTTTTGGAAAGCTGTCCGCACTTGGAGTTTATGCTTCGCTGGTGTCAGGTGCTTGCTGCCAACTTATGAAATTCTATAACATCAGGGCTCTTTCTGTATTCGGATCTGATTCATTGTTTGCGATTATTTTTTGACAGGAGCTCTGCAAAGCTCATGGAAACTCAATTCAACAAAATTCCAGAAATCTTCTTCCCCCTTTAAAATCATTGCAGAAAGCCATTACTAGAATTCATCAGGATTTGGCAGATACTTGTTCGTCTAATGAATACATGCTACGATATTTATGCTCAAGCACCAACAAATGATGGACCACTAACAGTGGACGGGATTTCCTTTCCATTTGCTGACGAAGAAATATAAATTATTCTCTTATGGAAGCTTTCCCGTAGCTAACACCAACATGCTAGGTTTGGATACCTTGTTGCAAGGTCCACATGGTTGAAATCGCGTTTGTTGGATCTGATGCTGCAGTTCATTAGGAACTCTAATATGGCTTTGGTTCATATGCATGCAAAGTGTCATGAACTGCCTTAGATGCAATTTTTGTTATAGGAGGAAAGATGAATGTGGGCCTGTGACAATGACGGATGAGGATTGCTGTATGATATGTTATCAAAATTTTGATGTCGTGAATTTTATATTCCTCTCAAAACTCTTATTATTCTTTTGGCGTTGCGTTGTATTATTTCTCTATTGAAGAATTATTTAATCTTCTTAAAGAAATGATGAAAGCAAATAATTACTAGTATCTAGACAAAGTAACAAAGAGCAGGAGCATATAATACAACGTAACGCAAAAAGAATAATTATGGTTGCCAGAAGTCCATATCCCTGCTTAGACGGGAAAGGTGAGGTTTGAAATGCTCCTTTCGATGGATCCGCATCATTTCTTCAGATATTGAACGGCAGTTTCTTGTGGATTTTCTTTCGTATCATGTGTGAAGCTAGGTGGCGTCTGTGTTCCTTGAAAGCTGTCTCCGATGTGATGGTTATTAGACCATTTTGTTCTCTTGCTGTTTCTTGAAAATAAAGGTTACCAAAACTTAGAGTTGGTGGAACTTCACAATCGTTCAAAGCAACACAATTTCTGGAAATGGAAGAGATGCCAGTGTCACAGGCACTTGAGTTGTATGTGCAAATCTAACACTAACACTGAGTTCTTGTTTTGCGGGGAAACCCTTTAGCGTTTTTGAGCATGAATAAGGCTGCTAACCCTTCTGGGACTGGCAAACCATGGCACCAAAATGCTACAATTCATATTCACCGAGCTGTAAAGGAGTTGATTCAGTCTGCTATATATATACACGTTTTCAAAAGGTTTTATTTCATTTTCTTGTTATGAGAATTTCCGATGCAAGTCAGAAGCGAGGGCTTGGAATTTGCGTTAATCTTGGTGAACGTTATAAATAAGTTAATAACCTTCGATTTAGCGGTGGCCCACACCCCTGAGAAGGCAAAATGGAAGTAAAACGCATTCTAGGGGACTTGGGATGCTTAACACGTTAAAACTGAAATTACCAGTGATAATTCCTTGTTTCTAACCATCAGAAGTAAACCACAAATGGCCAGCCGATAACCTACATCTACCAGGTTTGCGTCTTAGTTTCTGTGACCACTTAATAATCTACCATAAAACCAAGGACACTGATTTGAGAAAATAATAAACGATAAGCTATCGGACATGCTTCAGAAGCATGACCTCCCCCAATACCAAATATAAAGATGCACCTCATAATCACCACAAAACTGAAATTACCACTTTAAAACTGAACAGCATAGAGATATCCCCAGTTGAATTGCATGGATTATTAATTTTTTTAACCCCATCGAAACATTTACCTTATATTTGACAAAAGTACATACTCCAGAAAACATTTCCAAGTTTTAGTTGTCAGGAAGGGAATGCCAAACAGAGAAAAAGACAACTGCCGGACAAACTGAGGCATATGCTTGACTAGCATCACATTACAAAAATTACAGAATTAGTTATTCACTTCAAATTAATCGTTCTACCATCTTCATACCATTTTCCTACTTAGTGGTTAACTTGAAAGGGAAGAAAAACTTGAAAAAATTCAATCACAAGTTCCCCATGCAATAATTCCTTATTGCAACACAAGTAGAGAAATTGATGAAAATAAGTTGCATTGCTGTTGAAAATAAAAATAAACAGTTTGAGCTTATAATGCAGAACTAAATGCCTGAACCTTACATAGCAGCATCTCATGGCTTCCAGTTAGAGCAAACGAAAGAAATAGCGACCATAATTTAACCTATCAACCCTGCGAAATTCAACCAGAATAGCTTATTCAGATTCCTCTTTGCCTGAAATATCTTGGAGCTTTTCCTTCAGTTCGCCATTCTGCAAAGAAGGGGCCAGAACCCAGATCAAGTCACGGAAAGTTTGATACTGCCGAAATTTTAGTTACCCAAAAATTCAACAAAAAGAGGTCTACTTTAAGTAACTGACCTGGTGCATATTCATAATTATATCTGAGCCACCAATAAACTCTCCCTTGATAAAAATTTGGGGAAATGTAGGCCAATTGCTGCAACAGAAATTAGAGGATTAAGAAACAAGTGTTCTTGCACAAATTATCTTTTCTCACCAAGCATATCTGTAAGGGCAAAATCATTGCTAAGTAGCATCACAACAAACATTTTTCCAACTTTACATCCCTTCCCCCTTTTTTTCTTTTGACTTGGAGTTGAGCAAGGGAGGGGAAATACAGCTGTTATATTGGTCCATGGAACCAAGAATAAAACAAATAGTTGTGGCAGAAACACCAAAAGTTTATCTTTTAAACACAAAAAACAAATAGGTCATTAACCAAAGAAACCATAACATAAGAAGAACAGCTCCAAAGGTGCAGCAAGGAAATGACTCTTATCACAGATGAGCAGATTTGATAACAACAACCATCAATTATCAAGCCGAAAGATATCTTAACAATCATGAGGCAAAAGATAATTTTGTACCAACTAACAGAACAGATGGTGCTAAGATAGACCTGGAATAAAAATGCAATGTCCAAGAGATTTCAACTAATAACTCAGAGAACATGCATGCTGTTAATTGTGACAGTCTGTCTAAACAGCATACAAAGAGAATTCGCTAGTTTTAACAAGAAGATTCTTACAGACCTTCACTTATATGTCAAGACTTGTTCTGATGGCCATTAATTAGTCATGTCACACACATAAGCCACCAAACAGAACTAACCTGTATGCTTTCACTCCAAGTTTTAGCTCAGGATACTCCAAAATATTTCTAGCAGCTAAAGGAACATCTGCAAACACCAAATACCAGATTAACTGACATTGCCATGCAAAGTTAACAAATTAAACCACCAAAGAAACTAATGGGCATTGGCCAGCTGCCATACTGGCATTAAATAATTGAGAAAACTAGATATAGCCGCCATACTGGCATTAAATAATTGAGAAAACTAGATATACATATTTCTATAAACAGAAAATTTTAACATTTTCAATGGGTAGTGTCAAATTATTTGACAAATGCATCCAAAGTACATGCGCATGTACATCCAGCTAATAACAAAATGATCAATAAATTACAAAACATTATCAGGTAAACATAGGAAGTTTAGATATAACCAAGCCATTTTAACTGAGGAATTTAAGAAAGAAAGTAAACCACTTCTAGAAGATCATTAGTTCCAAGTCATCAGCGATGGGCTGCTTTTGGACATGAAAACCTTAGTGCTCTTCTGCGTTAAGCCTTGAATATGCATTATGACATGCAAGACATAAAAGCAGAAGTGGCTGGAATTATGGAAAAAGATACAGATGGAAGAATCTGCGGTTGACAAAGAGAGCTAACATTTGAGTTTCTATCATTCCCAAGATCATCGCATTGTGATTAACTAAGATCGTGCTCTCCCAACCTGACTAAATCTCAACAAGGAAATGGCCAATCATTACCTTGTTCTAATTCTTGAGATAACTGAACATGAATTGGCCACTTCATTCAACCAACAAATCTTCAAAATGAAAAGAAATGGCAAACTATCCAAACCACCTAACTAGTGTCATACTTAAGCCTTGTAAAAGGATCTAATTCAGGATAACCACTAAAAACCCTCTCATACATGCTCTCAATGGTAGTGAAACAATCCTTAAGATTGACAAGAAAACCAATTTTGGCCACTACAATGCTCTCATGACCCATGACCCTTCACCATTCCCAATATCTCCTTTTTTCTAGCCCCCCCGACAGTCTCCTGGTTACCAGTAAAGAGAAAGGAACTGTCTTTAGATCATTCATGTAATTTCTAAACGCATGGGTTAACACTATATTAACTGTCAAGTAAAGATTGAATTCAGAGTATCAATCAAAAACTTTTAACTCTTACTGTAATGCTTCAAAACTCTCACTGCCAGTGCGCTAAACCCACATTGAGGAAGCTCAGGGTACCCCTTCATGAAAATTACTACAGGGTGTTCCTTGACATCCTACACAACAAGTCAATGGTGATTATTGAGAGAACAGAAAAAAGAAACCAGCATCTGCTATGCTTGATAAATAAGATAGCATTAAGCTGACATATACCTTTTCAACAAATTCCTTAAAATTTGTTCTGGAAAAAGTACCACTCCCATCCTTGTTATTTGGTTGAAAATCTGCATGACTGTCGGGATCATTGGTAACAGTAGTAGAGAATCTCAGTCCAATGTGGTTAAAAGACGCAGGTACCTATAAATAAACCAAACAAATCAAGACACGTGTATGTGTTGAGATTGTGTTGCCCGACTGATATGACACATCACTCAAGAATTTCAAGGTTATAACTTAGTTAGGCTGCCATCTTTTTGTGCAAAAAATTATTTGCCCGTCTCTGGTATTTACTCAGTTCATGAAGAACAACACCAAAAATAGCACTAAAAAATTTACATGGCTCTCACTCCCAGAAAAAGAAAAATACAAGTAAAGTTTGCCTCTTTGGAGGAAAAAAAAACGGTGAACAAGTGGGAAACCTCACAAATAAAAAATGAAAAGTGACAAAGGAGTAACTAAAACCCTATATCTTAAAACCACGACAGGCATCCGGGTAAGGTAAGGGATTCTGAACAGCCTTCAAAAAATTAAAAATATATATATATATATATATATATATTTAGCATAACCATTTTTCTTGATATGAAAAGGTACTTACTATTGATCACGTAATAATTAGTTGAGTTCTTACAATTCTAGGAGAAGGTGATGCACGCGAAATACCCTTCAAGATTGTATTCGACAGTAACCTAGCCATTATTCCTTTTCCTTTATTTCTGCAAAAATAAAATAAAATCAAACATCAACAGTTTTATTTCTGATCAAATTCATTTTCTAAGATTCATACACATACATAAAAGAAATTAGAGGAAGTGACTGCGATAGAGATTTACCTCTTTGTGTTGTTGTTTCTAGAGAGAGAAAAGCAGCCAAGCCAAATCAAGATTCAGAGGGAGGGCGCGTTCCTGTGAGAGACAAGTGCACATTTTCTAATTTTTTTTAATTCATTTCTTTTCCGTAACTCAAAACGGCAACGATTTGACTGCCTATTTCGTAGTTTTTCTTTTTACTTTTTTATTAATAGGACCTTCGAAAACGGTTTTTTTGGTGGATAATGTCTGAGACTAGAAATTATGTTATTATACTACTAAATTCATCAAATATTTTGTTACTATCACATTGTGTTGATAATTTATAACAAAAATTTTTAATAAAAATAATAAAATATCGAGTGGATTTAGCGGCATCTAAAGAATAATAGTTATACATAATTGGGTTCTGATTTTAAAATTATTTTTACAAGATCTAGTAATTTATTTAATATAATTAAAACAGTTCATTCTTCATTAAAAAATAATTATAATAAAAAAATATTAAGGCCAAAATTATAAAAAAAAAATAGAAAATTTAAGATGCACCCTTTACTTCTACTTCTATAAAAACCTTCCACCTTCGTATGCTTTTTTATTTATATCGGAAGTAATTTTCAATCCTCCATATATGCTTTAATTAGAGTCATGCCTCCAACATAGGTCTATATTTTTTTTCATGATAACTTTTCTTTAAGTAAAATACATAAAATATTAAAAAAATATATTTTAATTTTATAAAACAAAGATAATCGAGGTAATTTTATTAAAAAAAATATTATGCAAATTATTTTAGAAATATATTAGATTTTTGACCCGGCTCTACGTTGCGGGTTGGATAAAATATATAAAATCATTTAGAAAAATTATTTTAGTTTAATAATATGTTTTATGATAAAAAAATAATTATAATTTTTAATCAAAAAATGTGTATTTAACTATTTTTTTATTTGTGTTTTTAAATTTTAAAAACAAATAATAAAGAAAATAAATTATTGATTTCTTTAAAATTTCAACATCAATTAATTGTTGGTTCCTTTAAAATTTTAACACCCAACATTATTAAAAAAAACAAAAATTAAAAAAAATCAATTTTTAGGAAAAAAAAAAAAGACGAGGGCCAACGTTTATTGTTCATATGAACAGTAAACGAATGAAAATTAAAAAAAATTCAGTGTTTAGAAAGAAAACAAAAAAAAAAAGAGGGAAGAAATCGTTTATTGTTTATATGAACAATAAACAACAAAAAAAAAAAAAAAAAAAAAGGAAAAGAAGGCCAGCGCTGGCAAAAAAAGAAAAAATGAAAATTTTTTTTAAAAAAAAACCAAAGAACAGTGATTACATACTGTTAATTGTTACAGTAAAATATCATTTTTCTTTAGTTTATAGGATAATAATAATTGAAAAATTATAAATTTAATAGATCATATATGTGTGTGTGTGGAACTTCTTCACGTCAGAGGATACCCTCTCCATCTCGATACTCGAATAAATCAAGTATTTTTGTCTGCTTCCATCTTTATACAGGCAAAAAGTCCCTCCATGCCGACTTCATTCAAGTAAATAGAGGCGAATTTCCATGAAAGTGGATACAATTGGCATCTTTAAATAGAAGTTCTCATCGTGAATAATTGACAAACATCAAAATTAGACCATTTTATTACTAGAATAAAAAGTTATGGTAATTTGAATTTTTAGATATTAAAAAAAATTTAATTTTAATTTTTCATGGATGAATTGTTTATAAATGGTATTTTAACTTATACTAATTGATGACTCGCACTACATTGTAACATTATTTTCAAGTGTTAATGTCGATTGTGCTAGCTGCGATGTTTTTCTTTTTTCTTTTTTTTTGAGTCACTTTGCAATAAAAAAAAAAAAACAATGTTTTATGCTTTGTTGCGTGATCTCAGTATCATAATACATCTAGAAAATAAAACTTGTCTGCTAGTCAAAAATGAAAATGAGTAGCCAAGCTAAATTAAAATATTGTTGTATTAATTCTCGGACGATATTTAAAATATCACAAATTCAAAGTTTCTGAATTGAAACATCTCATCATAAACTTCTTTAAGTTTTTCATTGCTTACGCAAGCAAGGAAAGAAAAACATCCTAGGACAGTTGTGTCCAAAAGCAGCACCCCAGACTTTCCCTAACAGTAGACTAAAACATTCAGGTGTGTAGCATTAAGCACAAAAAGACCAAGCTCTAAACAAAGCATCTAAATATAATTAACCAACTCATATGCTACCATAAGCCTTCTTGGTATTTTTTCAACCTTCGATCACTCCGAAGTTTCTTTCCATGCCAAACTGATGTCAGTGGTTATATGTTGAGCATCAATTGAAATGCCCATTAATCCCCTCAATGATTTGGAAAACTTAGTTTGGGCATTCCATTCTTATTAAAGAGGTTTTTTTTCTTCTTGCATTAGCAAATAAAAATCAACACTCATTAGAATCATTTAAAATATTATTTAACAAAGAATTTGAATTATATTTATACTCACGCATATGAGAAATAAATATTTATAATATATTACCTTGAGCTAATCCATCACAGTGCTTCTGTAGGCAGTAGCAAATATGATGTATCGTATCAATTGCTTTTACCATTTTCAAATGTGATTTCGTTTCAATAATCCCAGGCTTTTCCTCAACACCTGCGAGAGCCTCTTTCGGTTCATCAACTAACGACTCATTTCTAATAGCCACCAGTTGAGTTATGAATCTCCTCACTTATAAAACCAAAAAAAAAAAAAAAAGATAAACAAAGAGAGAGTTAATGAGACCAAAATTTGATTTATTTTCTTAAAGTCTTGATCTCTTAAAACAAAACACGTAGAGACAGCAGGTAAGATGATCATCCCTACCATAAGTTATATTACTAAGTAAAGAATGGCTTGGAGAATCACACTATTCAAAGCACATAATTGGATAATCAAGGTATTGCAAGTTTTTTACAACAACAAAGCAATCGTACCTGATCAGCAAGAAGAGTAACACTTGAACCAACTGTAAGTGCTACAACTATCAATTAATCTATATATCCATTGTCTATAAGATAAACAAATGAACGAACATGAATGGCTAGAACATGTTCACATAGCCTTATTTTTAATACATAAAAGAAAATATTAAAAAGAGAAGAAAAACAAAAAATCTTAAGGAAAAAAACAAAGACAATACACATTATAGAATGATTAGATTTGAAGTGCTGAGAAATGTGGTCAATCTGTGGTGGAAGCAATGAAATCTGGCTCGACGCATCCTGATGATGAACTTTTAGGACCCTTGGTTCTTCCAGTTGAAACCATAAAAGATTGACTTGATACACAAAGGTACAAAATCCTTAAAAAATTAATCAGAAAATTTAAACAGCCTACCAAATTTGATTGGATTCGAAGTGCTGAGAAATGTAGTCAATCTATAATGAAAGCAATGAAGCCTAGCTCGAAGCGCCCGGGTGATGAACTTTAGGACCCTTGGTTCTTCCAATTGAAACCATAAAGTATTGATTTGATACATAGAGATACAAAATCCTTAACAGTAAAGCTAATTCTAATGGTAAAAAACAACCAATTCTTTACAGAGACAGAAACTAACGGTTCGGTCGAGCAAAAACTTCCTTCCTTATGCCTCTAACTTATCCTGTGTGTTGGAGACGGTCTCAAAATAAGGAGCATATGAGACCTACAAAGGGTTCCCTGGAAAAATAGATTCGTCCAATTTTCTTTTAGCAAAACTAAAAATTACCCACATGATAAAACGTTTTTGAAGAAGTAAAAATGAATGAAAAAGGCAATCCTAGAAGTTTAAAAATATGAATGAATAAGCTCACCGTGCATTACTAATCCGATGAAACTTGATCTAGTAAACATCAGTAAATTGCTCACAATCTTCTGCATCTATTGGTTTACACCTTCAACCAATTTTTTTTCTTTTTTAAAACAATAATTAAGAAAATTTATATATATATAGGAAGAGGAGAAGTGGGTTTTACTTATTCCTCAATATTTGTATAAGAGGTAAAGAATTTGAACAAATCATCATCACATCCCAAAGCAGGAACGTTCCTCACTGTCAAATATATGTTCAAAAAAAGATCTTTATTATTTTGATTTTCTCTTCAAAATTTAGAAAGAAAGAAAGTCAAAAGATGTACATGAAGAAGTAAAAAAACTCATGTGACGTCAATTTTCTTGCTTCCAACCTGCCATAACCACCCATTCTCACTCTAACTCCTCATGTATATCTCTCCTCTCTTTACCATGAACTTCGTCTTAATTCACTCTATCTCCTCATGTATATCTCTCCTCTCTTTACCATGAACTGCGTCTTAATTTAGAGAGCGAGAAGCAGCAACACTTTAAAGGTTTGTAAGGAGTTTGGGTTTCAATTTAGAAGGGACGAAGGTGAAAGCGATGCGTGTGAAACGGACTGGGTTTGTTTAGGAGTGAGAGTAAAGGTTTTCTGAAAAGAGCGAGGTTGTCGCAGTAGAGAAGGAGAGATGAGAGTGCCACTGCCATTTTTGAGAAAGAGAGAAAAGAACTCTAGGTTTTGATAAATGCAACTTTTTAGATATAAGATTATAGACGTGGCAAGCAATTATTGGCTATAGAGATTATACACTCTCTATTTAAGAAAGCAAATCTAATAGCCAAAAATAGAAAAGAAAGATCCAATGGCCTAAAAGCAACAAAAAAAAAAAAAAAGCAACAGAATAGTGGAAGGAATAGGAGTATTGGGTCAGAGTCCACGGTTAAATGAGTCACGATGAATGGCAAAACGCATAGTGACAGATAGTAAATCATTGTTTTCTTTTAGTATTTTTGTTAATTTGCTTATATTTTGATACTATAACCCAAATTCCAGCAAGGTACTA